TCTTACTTGGCACTTTATTGAAACAAAAGCTATAAAACATGATTACTACAGTAGCATAATCATGTGAACACACAAATACATTAAGGGTAAATATTGGGTTGTCTCCCAACAAGCGCTTTTCTTTAATGCCTTTTAGCTAGGCATGATGAATTCAATGATGCCCGCATAAAGGATAAGAACTGAAACATAAAGAGAGCATCATGAAGAATATGACTAGCACATTTAAGTCTAACCCACTTCCTATGCATAGGGATTTTGTGGGCGAACAACTTATGGGAACAATAATCAACTAGCATAGGAAGGCAAAACAAGCATAACTTTAAAACTTTAAGCACATAGAGAGGAAACTTGATATCATTGCAACTCCTACAAGCATATATTCCTCCCTCATAATAATTTTCAGTAGCATCATGAATGAATTCAACAATATAACCATCACATAAAGCATTCTTTTCATGATCTACAAGCATAGAAAATTTACTACTCTCCACATAAGCAAAAATTTTCTCGTTCAGAATAGTGGGAGTATCATAAGAGACTCGAATACTATAAATTGTTTCCACATTAAAAGAGTAATATTCAGAAAAAGGGTAATAATAATCTTGACAAGTTTTATAAATATAATCATCACTACTTTTTATAGCATAAGTTTCATACAATAATCATCATAAGTAGCAACTTTGTTCTCATCATAATCAATTGAAACCTCTTCCAAAATAGTGGATTCATCACTAAATAAAGTCATGACCTCTCCAAATCCACTTCCATAAATATTATAAGATTCAACACCCTCCGAAATAGTGGGATCATTACTTCCTAAAGTTGACACTCTTCCAAACCCACTTTCATCAATATAACCATCATAAATAGGAGGCATGCTATCATCATAATAAATTTGCTCATCGAAGCTTGGGAGGCTAAAAATATCATCTTCGTCAAACATAGCTTCCCCAAGCTTGTGGTTTTGCATATCATTAGCATCATGGATATTCAAGGAATTCATACCAACAACATTGAAATCATGCTCATCATACAAAGATCTAGTACCAAACATTTTAATGCATTCTTCTTCTAGCAATTGAGCACAATTTTACTTACCATCATTTTCACGAAAGATATTACAAAGATGAAGCGTATGAGGCAAACTCAATTCCATTTTTTTGTAGTTTTCTTTTATAAACTAAACTAGTGATAAAACAAGAAACAAAAATATTCGATTGCAAGATCTAAAGATATACCTTCAAGCACTCACCTCCCCGGCAACGGCGCTAGAAAAGAGCTTGATGTCTACTACGCAACCTTCTCCTTGTAGACGTTGTTGGGCCTCCAAGTGCAGAGGTTTGTAGGACAGTAGCAAATTTCCCTCAAGTGGATGACCTAAGGCTTATCAATCCGTGGGAGGTGTAGGATGAAGATGGTCTCTCTCAAACAACCCTGCAACCAAATAACAAAGAGTCTCTTGTGTCCCCAACACACCCAATACAATCGTAAATTGTATAGGTGCACTAGTTCGGCGAAGAGATGGTGATACAAGTGCAATATGGGTGAAAGATATAGGTTTTTGTAATCTGAAAATATAAAAACAACAAGGTAACTAATGATAAAAGTGAGCGTAAACGGTATTGCAATGCTAGAAAATAAGGCCTAGGGTTCATACTTTCACTAGTGCAAGTTCTCTCAACAATAATAACATAACTGGATCATATAACTATCCTTCAACATGCAACAAAGAGTCAATCCAAAGTCACTAATAGCGGAGAACAAACGGAGAGATTATTGTAGGATACGAAACCACCTCAAAGTTATCCTTTCTGATCGATCTATTCAAGAGTCCGTAGTAAAATAACATGAAGCTATTCTTTCCGTTCGATCTATCATAGAGTTCGTACTAGAATAACACCTTAAGATACAAATCAACCAAAACCCTAATGTCACCTAGATACTCCAATGTCACCTCAAGTATCCGTGGGTATGATTATACGATATGCATCACACAATCTCAGATTCATCTATTCAACCAACACAAAGTACTTCAAAGAGTGCCCAAAGTTTCTACCGGAGAGTCAAGACGAAAACGTGTGCCAACCCCTATGCATAAGTTCACAAGGTGAACCCGCAAGTTGATCACCAAAACATACATCAAGTAGATCACGTGAATATCCCATTGTCACCACAGATAAGCACGACAAGACATACATCAAGTGTTCTCAAATCCTTAAAGACTCAATCCGACGAGACAACTTCAAGGGGAAAACTCAATCCATTACAAGAGAGTAGAGGGGGAGAAACATCATAAGATCCAACTATAATAGCAAAGCTCACGATACATCAAGATCGTGTCAAATCAAGAACATGAGAGAGAGAGAGAGATCAAACACATAGCTACTGGTACATACCCTCAGCCCCGAGGGTGAACTACTCCCTCCTCATCATGGAGAGCGCCGGGATGATGAAGATGGCCACCGGTGAGGGATACCCCCTCCGGCAGGGTGTCGGAACAGGGTCCCGATTGGTTTTTAGTGGTTATAGAGGCTTGCGGCGGTGGAACTCCCGATCTATTGTGTTCCTCGATGTTTTTAGGGTATATGGATATATATAGGCGAAAGAAGTCGGTCAGGGGAGCCACGAGGGGCCCACGAGGGTGGGGGCGCGCCCAGGAGGGTAGGGCGCGCCTCCCTACCTCATGGCTTCCTCGTTGCTTCCCTGACGTATACTTCAAGTCTCCTGGATTGCTTTCGTTCCAAAAATAACTCTCCCGAAGGTTTCATTCTGTTTGGACTCCGTTTGATATTCCTTTTCTTCGAAACACTGAAATAGGCAAGAAAACAGCAATTTGGGATGGGCCTCCGGTTAGTAGGTTAGTCCCGAAAATGATAAAAAAGTGTAAAGTAAAGCCCATAAACATCCAAAACGGGTAATATAATAGCATGGAACAATAAAAAATTATAGATACGTTGGAGACGTATCAATGACCCGAATATTTACAGAGTGAACCCTTCATAATAAACTTTCAATGTGGACACTCAAATTGAAGCGTTACCCTATATTTCCTAGCTGATGGTATAGACTTGTGTGCGTTACAATGATACATGCAGAGAGTCTTAATCTCTCTTTTTTTGTAAAAAATCCAATATAATATAAGAAAATGGCACATGATATTCAAGTAAAAAGAAACCAAAACAATAGACTAGAAATTTGTGTCTCCTTGGTTGCCCGAATAGATTTCGTTTTTGATCTGCACTCTCCTTGGTACCTCATGATCTAATAGCATACATGTTGAGATACTCTTGTATTCTTAGAGTATGTTTTCGGTGTTCTCCTTATCGGAAAGGTATTTCATTGTGAACAATCCATCTACCCTTTCTAGTTCGACGGGTGTGTTTGGTTCAGCTTCAGCTGCCAACTTTTCAGTCTAAAAGCTAGAATATGAACCAAAGGAGATGTCCAGCAAACCAACTTCTTGAGAATCTAGAAAATCTTGTAGTGCATTTTGTGAGCCGGTCTACTTCCAATTTTTTGAGCTTCTCAATCAAATTATTCTTTTCCTAGAAGTGGAACGGTATTTACCCACCTTGCCACTGATAAGTCAAAAAACTTTTTGATCTATTCCTTGAGCGAGTGAGCGAACAAAGAGAGTGCATCCCTCCTGACAAACGACAAAAGTAACTTGGCCTCCTTCGCGAGCGCGACAACTAGGGTTCCTAGCCGCCGCCAATACTGTCGGCCCTCTGCCGCGCCACCCCTAGCCACGGAAGCCTCCACTACCTCAACGCTGGTACAAGAGCCCAACGGCTGCTCCCGCCAAGTAGTGCCGCCACCTGGAGCTACGCTGGTGACCATTCCATAGGCAGGTAGCCACCACGCCTTCCTTCTCCCTCCTTCCCTCACCCTCCATCCTTCCTCTTGCATCCTATATTTGTTAATATCCTATTTTTTCCAGTGGCCACGAGCTTACACTTGATAGCGTAGAATCCCTTAGCCCACTTGGCATAGCTCGCCACCTGGCTAGTGATTCAATAGTCTTTCATGTTTCCCATCAGATTATCAGAATAACAATAATAGTTAAATTGCTATATTTCATCATTTTCCTTTCCAAAATGGTCGTTGAATTGCTTACCAATGTACAAATGGTTTTTTTAGGTCAGTTAGCATATAAACAATATTTCAGCCCCCGGGTCATTACAGAAAATTCATATAAAATCTACGGGCTTACAGTTGTCTCAAACGAACAACTTTTAGCTTTTCCACAATTCTCAGCTCACAACATCTTTCTTAGCTCGCATATGCTTTTTTGAAATCCACAACTTAGCGCAAATAAAAAAAAGGTATGAACTGTTCACGAACAATAGATTTTTTTCATTGACCGGATTTTTTTTGCTGAGATTTAGTCAGATGTCCAAACACGCTGAAATTTAGCAAGAACCTAAAAAATATCAGTTTTTTATTAACTTTTTAGTATTTTTTCTTCTGATTTTACTGTTGACTCGCAGGAGCAGATGAGCTCTCGTTTTAGATCAGAGCAGATGAGCTTTGGAAGCAATTTCGCTGCTCTCACACTTTCGTTGTTTTTTGCTGAGAACTACAGGCAAATAGATGGATCAGGCCCGCTTAAAATTCCAGCAGCCCATATACACGTAGTGGCCTCCTCTTGAAGGAAAAAAAAGGAAAGAAAGATGTATACGAGTTTAAAAAAAAGATGTATACGATGACCTCAAAAGAAAGAAAATGATGTATTGTGTTTTCCTCTCTTTTTATTTTTTGCGGGCTATTACGTACGCGTAGCTCCTTGCAAAAAAAAAAAGAAAAACTACGCATAGCTATTGGCAACAAAAAAAACTACACATAGCTTTGCCTCTACGCGACGTATTCTGTACAAGTACGGGGTAGACGCCGCGTACGTACATACGTATCTCTACCGGCCGCTGCAGCCGTTCTCGTCTCCTTCGATCTCGCGAAAGCAAACCCTAGCGTTCTCGCAAAAAGCTCCTCGATCCATCGCCATGGCGCCGTCGGCTTCCGACGTCTTGCGCCTCGACGGCAACGGGAACCCGAGGACGCTTCGCCTCTTGGCGTCGCTCGTGGAGGCCGAGTCCCGCCGCTTCGCCGCCGCCGCCTCCGAGCCCGCGGAGAACGACCTCGTCCGGGCGTTCCGCGGCGGCGCGACCCCGGCCGTCCCCATCGCCGAGTTCCTGGAGCGCCTCCAGCGCTGCAACTACTTGTTTGATGGCGCCGTCTACGTCCTCGCGGCGGCGTACCTCGCGCTCTTCATGCGCAGCCCCGCCGCGCTCGAGGCCGGGATCGTCGTCGAGCCGGCCACCGCGCACCGCCTGGTTTCCGTGGCGGTCCTGCTCGGTGCCAAGTTCAGCAGCCCGAGGTACTTCGAGAGGCGGGTGGAGTCGTTCCAGATATGCTCGGGCGAGTCCATCCGGTCCACCGAGCTGTGCCCGCTCGAGTTGCTGTTCCTACGCGCCCTCGACTACCGCGTCTTCATCGCCGACGAAGAATTCCGGCGCTTCTTCAGGATCCTGGAACGCCGTCCAGCTCCAGCGCGCAGCATGGCTTGTGCAGCGAAGAAGAGGAAGGCCGAGGAGGAGGTGGAACCACGCCGCGTGCGAGCTTGCCAGCTAGCCGCCCGCTACGGCATCTCAGGATTCAACCGGAGTTAAGTTCTCAAATTCTTTCTCTCATTATGCATCCTCGCATTGCATTTGAATCGTCAGGAACTGAGCACGCTTTCCTTCTGTCGCTTACTTGGTACTACTTACTGTCGTTTCTGTGTTTTCGATGGAGGTTGTTTCCGGTGGAGATCCATCCAGCAGAGGAAAGTTGTCAGAGGACGAGAAGCAAGAGCTCACAGCAGACGCTGGAGATCAAATGTTGGCCTAAATATCAAGTCTGTCAAATTAGTACGACAAGTGTTAGTTGACTCGAGTCCACTGTTGTCGTCTATGTCTAGTCTTGGCTAAGAAGTAGCGTGTTACAGTCAGTTAGTCATTACTCCCTCCGTCACAAAATAAGTGTCGCCGATTTAGTATTAAATCCAGACACTTATTTTAAGACGAAGGGAGAGTCCTTGTGTAAGATTCTTTTTATATATCCATAAAGACTATTCAATGTTTTGCACGATGGCTCGTAGCATCGTGCAATTCATGTGTCCAGAAATTATTTAGCCCAAATCAGAGTCTAGTGTTCTCGTCTAGCTATTCTGTTACGATCAGCTATTCATTAGTACTGTAAGATCATCAAGGTTTCAATTTCAAAGATCAATAAAGAGTATACTTTTTGCTGGATTTGAAATCTTTGAAATATGCAGATCGATCACTGACCTGCATGGACAAGTTACAGTATTTCCCTGTGTTCTTCTTTCATAACATAATAAGTCTTGAAGGAAACCAAAGGATTGTTCTCAGTCTCATGTCTAGGGCCAGACGACATACATGTTCTGAGCAGGAAACAATAATATATACTTATAACCCTGATGCACAATCGATTCACAATAATGCATCTTACACGCACACCTGCATTGACAACTGCTGGGATGGCCATGAGAATGTGGCCACATATTAACCCAACACTTCATACAACAAGATCACACCAATCACTTTGAGTTCTGGATTCGAATGGCTGCTCTGGCTAGTGACTATGACTCCACTGAATCTGACACGAAAAGAAGACAACAAATCAGAGAACCGTCAAGAATTCTCCACTAAAAAATGTACACATGTGCAAACATGAACTGATTATAGGTATACATATGACCAAATATAAGAGCAGTTGGTAAAACTTATGAGAAAGACACTTGTCAAATTTTACATAAATAATAGGACTACACTGCAGATATATATTAATCTCAACTGAAACTGAGAAATGCATAGGCACCGTAATCATGTGTTTATCATAGTAACTATGCAATACAGTTGGGAACAAATAGGACAGAGAGATCATGGTAAACAACAAAAAAATGAATCACAAAATTAGATAAATAAAATTGATAGCTTCATAAGAGACAATCAACAAACAGTAATCAGTGATTCGCA